GGTTTCACCGTGTTAGCCTGGATGGTCTTGATCTCCTGACCTCGTGATCCGCCCACCTCGGCCTCCCAAAGTGCTGGGACTACAGGCGTGAACCACTGTGCCTGGCCAATTTTTGTATTTCTAGTAGAGATGGGGTTTCACCATGTTGGCCAGGCTGGTCTCGAACTCCTGACCTCAAATGATTTGCCCACCTCTGCCTTCCAAAGTATTGGTATTACAGGCATGAGCCACTGCGCCCAGCCAACTGTCAGCCTTCTGATGCTCGTTTGTGACAATGAGGGAGAACGTGGTTGGTGCTGTGCTCCGTGTCCACCGCCACTGCCAGTTCAACAGTCAGCCGGAGTTTCTACTGGCAGACAGTCCCATGGCACTTCTCACTGGCATATCTGGTCGCCTTCGGTCTCCTCACCCCGGCGACCACTGTCCCATGCCCTCAGCAGATGGGTCACTCCCACTCCATGAGAGAATGGAGGTCAGGAAACCCTACTCCACATCCTCTTGAATCCCAACCCAGGCTTGCACTTCCTGCCTCGCAGCGGAAGAGGTCTCCCTCTCCAGTGCCCGAGCCCTCGATGGTTTCCCCGTCGTCTTTCTCCTGCCTTCTCAGACCTTGCACTTTGAATCTGTCTTTTCTCGTGTATCAGCAGTCTACTGCTTCACAGCACTTCAACACGCAAGAGCACTCCCCTCTGTTATCCACCTAATTTTATCTCCTTCCAACCTTCCCTCTGTCTCTTCCCTTGTATAGCCAAATTGTTTTCTCCTTAAAATTTTCAGTTTATTTATTTTTTATTTTTTGTAGAGGTGAGGTCTCATTATGTTGCCCAGGCTGACCTTGAACTCCTGTGTTCAAGCGATCCTCTTGTCTCAGCCTCTCAAAGTGCTGGGATTACAGGTATGAGGCACTGTGCGGAGCCAAACATTTTCAGTGTCTTTAAAGTTAAGCATTCATCACTTTACTTCACAGCCCACATTTCTTTTTAAAAAAATAAATTCAGACAT